ATTGGCCTTCAGAGATTGGTACCATTTTCCATTGAAACTGCCTGAATCTACAGATTTCTTTTTTAGAAGTTTTGAAATTTTGAATTTGTTTTTTAGTGGTTAAAGGGCCACTCAAATTACTATTTATTTCAAATCATTTTATCAGATTATTTATTTTGTGTTGTTAATGTGTTACATTCAGAACTGGTCCATTTCGTCTAAGTGGCCAAATTTATATGCTTTTGATATCTACAGGTCTATAATGGCACCTTTTGTTTCATTCCTGACGGTGGTGATTTTTGTATTTTTTTTTCTTTGTCATTCTTGCTAGAGACTTGTCCTTTTCATTGACTCTTTTCTGAAGAATCTGCTCTTTGTTTCATTGATTTTTCTCTTTTCTATTTTCAATCTTACTGATTTCTGCTCTTAATTTACTTTCTCCTTCTTGCTTTAAGTTTATTTTGCTCTTCTTTTTCTAGATTCTGAAGATAGGAGCTCAGATTATGGATTGAGATTTGTTTCCTCTTTTCTAATTGCATTTAGTTGTGTGAATTTCCCCCTCAGTAGTGCTTTTTGTCTCGGGAAACTTGACTTGTGTTCCTGTGTGCATGCAGTTCAGTGTAGTTTTTGGTTTCCACCGAGACTTGCTCTCACCCATGGATTATTCAGGAGTCTGTTTAGTGTCTAAGTGTTTGGAGATTTTGTTGTTATCTTCCGCTGGTTCTAGTTTGGTTTCATTGTAGTCAGAGAACATACCCTGTGTGATTTCAGTTCTTTTGTATTTGTCAGGGTTTTCTTAATGGCTCAGACTGTGGTGCCTCTTGGTTTATGTTGTGTGGATGCTTGAAAAGAACACGTATTTTTTTGTCATTCAGTGTCATGTTCAAATAGTGTCCATTAGATCTTGTTGGTTGATGGTGTTGAATCCTTTGTTTGCCAGTGTTGTGTCTAGTTCTATCCATTGTTCGCAGAGGAGTGTTGAAATTTCTAACAGTAATTGTATATTTGTTTATTTCTCCTTTTCTAGAAGTTTTTGCTTCACATATTTTGCAGTTCTTTTGCTTGGTGCACACACATTTGTTACATCTTCTTGGTGGATCGACTTTTTTTTTTGTTTTGCTTTTTTTTAAGATTTTACTTATTTATTTGACAGAGAGGCAGCACAAGCAGGGGGAGCAGCAGGCAGAGGGAGAAGAAGAAGCAGGCTCCCCACTGAGCAAGGAGCCCTACGGTGGGGCTCAATCCCAGAACTCTGGGATCATGACCTGAGCCGAAGGCCGATACTTAACCCACTAGGCCACGCAGGCACCTCTGGATCGACCTTTATTGTAATGTTCCTCTCTGTTCTGATCATTTTCTCTGCTCTGAAATCTACATTAGCTGATAATAATAAAGCTGCCCTTCCTTTCTTAATGTTTCTATGATGTGTCACTTTTCATTCTTTTACTTTCAATCTGCCTGTATTATATTTGAAATCTTTTTCTTCTAGATAGCATATCCTTGGGTCATTTTGGTTTTGTGGGTCTTTTTGATCCACTCTTTCAACCTCTGTCTTCTGATTGATACATGTAGACCACTTACTTACATTTGATAAAATTGTTGATACCTTAAGCTTTAAGTCTGCCTGTATTTTGCAGTTCAGAAATTTCCATTTGGTTCTTTTTTATGTTAGATTTCCTTTCTTGGACTTTCTGTTTCTTCGCTGAGACTTTCTATCTTTTCATTTGTTTTATTTTGTCCATAATTGCTTCTTGAAGCAGTTTCAAAATGGCTCCTTTAAAAATCTGCATCAGATCATTTTAAACATTTCTTGCCATTTCAGTATTTGCCCATATTGGCTCTCTTTTTACATTCTGCTTGACATCTTGGTTGTTGGTATGACAAGTGCTTTTTTTACTGGAACCTGAAAATACTGAGGATTATGTTATGAAACTCCGGATCTTATTTAAACCTTCTATTTTAGCTACCTTTCCCTAGCACCACCTCAGAAGGAGGAGGGAATTCCTCATTGCTGTTGGCAGCCCCCACGAGGCCTCCACTGACGCTGCCCCCAGGCACTGCTCCTTACTACTTGCTGGAGTGGAAGTTCATGCTTTTTTGTGGCTTCCACGGATGGTGTGGGAGGTGAGAGGCCCCCCTGCGTGCTAGTGACGGTGGACTGTTGAGGACCTCCTCCAGGCTCTGCTGATGCGGGTGTGCACGGAGCCAGTTTTTTCTGTGGTGGTTGAATAAAGAAGAGTGTTTTTCTAAAAGTTTTCTTTCTTCCTCGGCTGTTTGATTTTTGTGGGAGGGAGAGCAGGTTTTGTTGTTTTGTTTTTGTTTTTGTTTTTGTCTACTCCACTGACATTCTGGTTTGCTGACTCCTTCATCTCCAGGTCTGGGATAGGTAGGGCAAAAGAAAACCCAGGAAACGCACCACCGTGTTGTTCCTCAGAGTGTCTCAGATGCTTCCAGTTGTATAGCTAACGTCCAGGGCTTTTAGTTGAATTAGCAGGAGACATAGGGAGAAACTACATTTACTTCGTCTTCCTGAAAGCAGAAGTTATTTGTCTAATTTAAAAAAAAAAAAGAAAGCAAACCATCTGTCCCCCTCCATCCCACACTAGTAAAGTGTCACTTTTCTCTGCTCCCTTTTAGAACCGAGTTCTTTGGCAGCATTTTTCTATACAGTTGACCCTTGAACAGTGGGGAGAATTTTTATTGAAACCTGGAAATTTTGAGTATTATGTTCTAAAACTCTGGATCTTACATAAACATTTTGTTTTAGCTAGTTGCCTCTGACACCACCTTGGCAGAACTTGGAGGGAAGTCCTCATCCCTGTTAGCAGGCGTGGGAGTTCCTGCACAGAGACACATCCGTGTAACTTCTGACTTCATTGAAACTTCAGTGACCAACAGCCTTCTGGCTGTTGGAAGTTGATTGGAAGCCTCAGCCATAACATAAGCAGTCAAATAGCACACACTTTTTGCGTTAAAGGTGTTACATACTATATTCTTGCAATAAAGTAAACTAGAGGAGTAGAGAAAAGAATGTGTCCTTAAATAGATTCCACGTGTAAGTGGACCCGCACAGTTCAGAAATCTGTTGTTTGAGGGTCACCTTTACTTATTTTCTCCAGCCCCTTCCTCTCAGTCTCTCTTAAACCTAGTAAGCCTCCCACCCTTCCAGTCCTCTGGAACCATCTTGTTGAGGCACCATTTACAAGTGGGTAAAGTAGTAGTATCCATCAGAACTGTGGCCGAAGCTAAAATTGTACTTAGAGGAAAGTCTGTAGCCTTAATTGTACTTTAAAAGAGAAAGAAGCCTTCAATCTAGAACCAGTCTAATTTAAGAAGTTAGAGAAAGGATCAACCTGAAGAAAAAGATGAAAGATGTATAGACATTAGTAAGAAAGCAAAGCTGCAATTTAGAAAATTAGGAAGTTCTGGCAAGATGATTAAGAAAAACAAAAAAGCAAAAATAAATAGTAATGCATATTAGAAAATGTTATAAATTTAGTCATATGTAAATAAAATTATATGTGAAATTTGTCAATGATCAGTTGATTCAAAAAGAAGTAGAAAATCTGAATGATCCTATAACCATTAAAAACGGTGATTGAGTTGTTAAAAATTCCTTCAGTGAAAAGACCCAGGTGGTTTTTCAGCTGATTTTGGATAAATGCTAAGTCTAGTATTCAGTACACTTTTTCAGAAAACAAAAAAAAGGGGCGTGGGGGGGTAATAATTGTCATTTAGGTTTTCTGGGGCTTCTGCTATGAGCTTGTTATCAAAATTAGTTGAGTGTGAAAGAGTGAAATTGACAAGCCCGTCTGTTTTATGAACGTAGCCAAAACATCTAGCAATGTATGAAATAGGTAAATTACCCAGTTTGGCTTATTCCAGGAATGCAAGGTTTAATCAACATTACAAATGTATCCAAAATATTTACACGTTAATATAATTATGAGTCACATGTCACACTGTCAATTTAGAATAGTGAAGGTCTTTGTTAAATCTGAGAATGCTAGGTGTCTGCTACATGATGAGTACTAACACTCAGTTTTGAGTGGGAGACTGTGGGTCACAGTAGAAGGCACACTGATTCAATGGAAGGGAGTCCGATCTGTCAGCCACGGCAAAATGTGAGTTAGGTGTCGGTGAGTGGTATTTTGTGAAACTTGGTGGGAACACCTTGCAGGTAGAGGCAGTACTGTGAGTTAGAGCACAGCTGTGGCACCTGGGCGGGGTTGGTGAGCTAGAGCTCGAGCTCCACAGCGATGAGATGCGTTGTACGCCATTCGTGAAAGGCGGCCTCTGCGTTGCTTCTTGCTCAGCCATGGAGCATGTCTCAGCCCAGTGAGTCAGGACGCCAGTGAAGGTCTTTGAACATTCCGTTGGCCTTTTTATGTTTCATGTCTGATCTTTAGAAATAACATGGAAACTTGTTTGCACTCTTCTGCCTACGTACCTTATTTGAGGTCAGGTGCTGCCACTATTTACTTTGATTTTTGTCACTAAAAATGAAGGAATCTGAAGCACTAATATAATGTGTTAATTTTCTCTGTGTTATATTCCTAAACTTTTAAAACCACTCATGGCTGATCTCTTTTCACCAAGCTGGTGCGTGAGAACTTTCCAGTGAAAAATGTGACAGAGGCCAGATTCATTTCCTTTGTTCTGCCATCTTTTGAACCTCACAAGTGGTGAAAGCACGTTTTAATACACCTCTTCTTAAGAGAGACTTGTGATTTTACTGAAGTTTTTGATTGAGTTGTATTTTTTTAAAGGAAAGTCATTGAACTGAACTTTCACTGATTGTCACGTTTTCTCGTTTTTTCCTTTTTGTTTTTTTTTATTCCACTGGTACATACAGGGCAACAAGTTTGTTAGTAATTCTACATTTGTGAATCAGAATTTTAAACGTAGGTTAATTTCATAAATGCGCTCACTTTTCTCTTAATGCATTTCTTCAAACCCCCTAAAGATACTTTTATTTAATTTTCTGGATTATGTAATGTATTTGGCTTTTTTAATTTAAGGTGTGACTGCACAGAAAAGTTACAGAACAAATTTGACTTTTTGCGCTCACAGTTGAATGATATTTCTTCGTTTAAGAATATCTACAGATATGCCTTTGATTTTGCAAGGGTAGGTGGAATTTCCATGTTTTGTAATTTTAACATTTTTTTAATCTTGAAACCACACTCAGGAGAGTTTTTCCTTATGTTTTAGGATAAAGATCAGAGAAGCCTTGATATTGATACCGCAAAGTCTATGCTAGCTCTTCTGCTTGGAAGGACATGGCCATTGTTCTCAGTATTTTACCAGTACCTGGAGGTATGTATGTTCTTTATTTTTTTGAAAATATTAACCTAATGAATATTAAATTGTAATTTTTATTTTAAAGCTTAATCTGATTGAAAATACACTTTTGATGGAGGAAAAACAGATTTTTAAATACTGTGCTTTTAAAAAAATCTGCTTAAGTAGTAAAAAGTTTCCATTAAAGTGTGTACATATACGTTGTCATTTTTAGACACAAGTTCATGTTCATTAATACAGTCTGTACATGAGATAATTGTATTCCAGTCCTGCATCCCTCTCATAAAAAAAGTAACCTTCAAGAAATACATTTTAGCAAAAATGTGCTTTGTGCAGAATTGGTTTCTTGGGCTTTTGGCAGAAGAGATTTGATGCTGGTATACAAATATCAAGCTTCTAAATCGGGTTTTTTTTTTTTTAAGATTTTATTTATTTATTTGTCAGAGATAGAGCGCACAAGCATGGGGAGCGGCAGGCTGAGGGAGAAGCAGACTCCATGCTGAGCAAGGAGCCTGATGCTGCTGGTCTTGATCCCAGGATCCTGGGATCATGACATGAGTGGAAGGCAGATGCTTAACCAACTCAGCCACCCGGGCAATCCCATCAGGTTTCTTTAATATAAGATCTTAGGCTGAAATCTACATAAGGGAACTGCTTGTAGTAATAATAAAACTTTATTTTTCACTTAGGTTCAATCCAAATAATTAGAATTAAAATATTTTATGTTCACAAATATGAGAATGGCTGTAATCCTGTACTTCAGTGTACTGATGAGTGAGTGATGTACGCTGAGTTTATGGAGAAAATTTTCTTTTAGAAGGTTTAACATAGCACGCATTGCCAGCAGTGGTTCTGAGAATACTTTTCTTCTTTCCATTGCTTTCTTTGGTTTTCTATGTGTTTTTGTGTCTTCAACTTTAGGGTTTTTCAGTATGGCTTGCTCACCATTTCTTGAGTACAGATGCTTTTTGTTTTTGTTTTGATTTTTCATAAAGCTGATTATCATAGCAAATTCCTCAGAATAATTTTGTTTAAAGCTTCTGACAAGAAGCAATGATACGGGGTGTCTGGGTGGCTCAGTTGGTTAAGCTTTTCCCTTTGGCTCATGTCATGGTCCCAGGGTTCTGGGATTGAGTCCTGCATCCAGCTCCTTGCACAGTGGGGAGCCTACCTCTCCCTCTGCCTCTGCTTCTTCCCTGCTTATGCTCTCTCTCTGACAACTAAATAAATAAAATCTTCAGTACTCGTTATGCAGAGGGTGTTCGGCCTGCAATGCTTCTTTAGTTCTTTGTAACACTGTTTTGAGTTACGTCTTATCCCCCTTCAGCAAATGAAGAAGTGGGCTCTGTCGTTAAATAATGCTCCCAGGGTCACCCAAGTAAGTGGAGAAGTGGGGTTAGAACCGAAGCCAGTACTCTTTGCACTGCCTGCAAAGATGCCAACTTCAACATGCGTCTGAACAGTGAACCTCAGTGAAGACGGGTGTTGTGGGAGGCAGCAGGAGGGGCGCAGTGGCTGTCGATCTTGAGCTCAGTGTGGTTCCAAAGTATGTTCCTAAGCAGACTCGCTTACTCGATGCTCCTGTTATTTCTCTAAAATGAAGGAAAGATAAAGGAAAACGTCACTTGGGTCATGTTAACATGTAAATGTCTCTGAGATTTGTCTTAGAAGCACGCATAATTTAAAAAGGAATAAATGTTTTAAGAAAAAGACCAAATCACAAAAAATGTTATAACTAGATTTATCAAAGTCAGTTCCTAATAAATAATGCTTGTTCTGTATTCAAAATATTTGCATCATTTTCTACAGCAATCAAAGTATCGTGTTATGAACAAAGATCAGTGGTACAACGTATTAGAATTCAGCAGAACTGTCCATGCCGATCTTAGTAACTATGATGAAGATGGTGCTTGTAAGTATGTTTTCCTACAAAAATAAAATTCTTACAGCCTTAGATGAGAATATACATTTGTGTAGCATTGCTATAAAGGATTTAGATTTTCTAGCAGTAACTTTTATTACTTAATCATACAGAAAGTGTGGGGAAGGCAGGTGTAGAATGTAGACCAAGAGCTTCGACTGAGCAGTGTATTACAAGCAGGGGCGCCTGGGCAGCCCAGTCAGTCAAAGTGTCCGACTCTTTGATTTCAGCTCAGGTCATGATCTTGGCCTCTGTGTTCAGTGGGGAGTCTGCTTGAGATTCTCTCCCTCTCCCGTAACCCTTCCCCCTCCACTTGCTCTTGCTCTGTCTTATGCTTGCTCTCTCTCAAATAAAATCTCTTAAAAAGAAACACAGTTTTTCACTCATTCAAGTTATCAATATTCTTCAGTGGAAAGGACAGCATGTCTCAACTTGTAACTGTCAATGCCTTAGCAGATGTGTGAAGTAATGATCAGTTAGGTAGGCCGTGTTCTCTGTGACAGTGCAAGATGTCTTCCGTTTCCACCTCCAGTTCGGTTGCGCGCGTTGTGTTACTGTTGGGAAGTTGTGTGGTGAGACACATTCCTATAAACATCAATTGAGATGTGGACTTACTTAGAGAAGGGGCAACTTTATTTCTCAGTGCACACGCACGCATGTGCGTGTGTGTAGTGACCTCTCCCTACAGAATGTGTAGCAATAATATTTTTAGAGACCGTACCTTAGCAGCAGTAAGCCGGCGGCCCAAGGACTATCTGTGGCCTGCAGATGTGCATATTGTGTGTGTGTTTGAGGCAACCTTTAAGTTAAGAGTTTTTGCATAAAAACAAAGCTTCCAGATTTGTTTGAAAAATCAGAAAATCTGACAAAACTGTACCTGGAATTAGTGAGTGAAGCCGAGTGGTAGCCCGTGTTAGACTCGCTTCCCGCTTTGCTGGCCCGCAGCTTATGCCAACAGACAGCTTGCTTTTCAGCGGCCGTATCTAGCCGGGCTTGCCTGCTGCTGGTCTTAGAGTAGAGAAGTGTGTCTGTGAAATCAGAAAAAGAGAGACCACCAGAACGTTGTGTGTTTTGAGGAAAATAGAGCTAGCAATTTTTTTTTTTCTGGCAGTGAGTTTTCCTCTATTTAAAAAAAGAGATAACAGTGAGGTCATTTGATCTGCCTACCTGGCTTCTGTCAGGAAATGCGTTTGTACCCCCCCCTCCGCCTTATACAAATGTCTTCGTAGAGTCGTTCTTAGGCCAGCTGTTGATTAGACACCTGCTGCATGTTTAGACTCATACTTGGGCCTGTTACCGGCCACCCCTTCACCAAGCTTACACATTTCATAGTGAGGGAACCTGGAAATACTATGTTAAACACTTCCAGTGTTCCTTAGTAACTAAATAGCAGGATGCTATGAACACGTAGAGAAAGGGAGAGGTGAATCTTGACTTAGTTATTGGAGAGTTCTTCGAACACCGGAACCTTGCAAAGAAAGTTGCAGCAAATACCCATGGTGGGAAGTCCCTTCTGTCTGGAAAGAAAAGACTGGGGAAGCAAGCTCTGGGGAGTCCAGCAGCAGAATGGGGAGCAGAACCCCCGCAGCGGCAGAGGGTCCATCCTCAACACTGGCACAGGGCTTGTGGACAGGGTGTCCTGTAGTTGGAGGGATAAGTTCACTCAATTCTAACAAGAATTGCTTCTTTATTTCTAGGGCCTGTTCTTCTCGATGAATTTGTTGAGTGGCAAAAAATCCGTCAAACATCATAGCAAGAACTAATGTGAAGAAAATGCAAACCTTTTGGCATCCATGTGTACACAGGCTAACAAGACGAGGAAAAAATCCAAAGGGTGCATTTTCATTCATATGAAAGACTTCTCATAGTACTTTTTTTTCCTTTTTTTTAAAGGAAGTTTTCTTGTTACATGTGATGGGCATTGAGCCACACCTCTTCTGAGACTGAATATTGAAGCTTTTGTTTTGAGTTATGTTTATAACATTTATTTCAGAACAATAAAGATTCAGATTTGTGACAAAGGCCTTAAAGTGAAGATCTCCCTTGAGTGTCAGAGTGGTATTTATTTTTGTACATTTTAATTCTCGAATTTCAGAGGATGTTTCTCACCATGAATTTGGAATTTTAAAGATTTTGAACAGTCTTGATATTTGGCAACGTAGTCCACTGATGGTACGGCTCATTAGGATCAGCTGTGAGCAGTTAGGAAGAATATTGGCCTTGGCTTCTGGGATAATGATGTTCTGATACAGCTGATACAAAACATGTCTGGAATTGGGAGTTCCCCAGCTCTCAGCTCTGGTTTTCTGTGAAACCAGCCATGGTCTTATGCACATGCTTTATCTGAAAAGTTGAGACTTGGAATGATTTTGTCCCAGTATCTTGCTTTCCTAACTGTTAAATAGTGTCATCAATAAGCGTTCATCAGCATTGCATGTATGTTCTTAGTCTGACTTTCAAGTTTCTGCATTGTGTCAATTACAGAGCTCCATTTCTGTTGAGAGAGCAAGGTTCCTGTGTTAATGGTCTCAAAAGTAGGTTGATGAGAGAATCAAGAGCAATATTGAGGTTGTATGATCATCACTGTTGTCATTGCTGGTGGCGTATATGTGATCTCTTTAACTGTCATTTTGTGATATGGAGAGCTTTGTTAAGGGACCTTTTTTTGTCTTAAAAGAGAACCTTAGCTCTGATGTTGTGGATTCAGTTAAGATACATACAGGAAGAGAAGATAATAAATTAAGTCTTGAGAGAGCTCTGGGTATAAGGGTGCACAACTCAAGGATGCTGTTTATATGGGTATAATCACAGTATTGTTAATTGTCATAATTTTCTAAATGTTGGCAGTAAAGTATCTTGAGGAAAGGAAAGCCTTTCCGAATTCACGCAAAAGGCATCTTCAGACGAGGAGCGGAGCTGCGTGGACATTGCTTTTCAGAGCATCGCACGTCCCATTCACAGTCCAGCCGCAACCCTCAGCAGCATTGCTAATTTCAGTTTATGAGTGGAAGGAAGTAAATAGGTTATTTTTCCACAATAAGGACATTTCTGTTGGGATTTAAGATAAAGGTTGATTTTTGAATGGTGAATTTATTTAATGAGTGACTTTCAGTATTGACTGCATAAGGGAAAATCGCATTTTAAAGATTTTTATTATTTGGCTAATGAGCTGGGAGAAAGTGATTACGTTTTACTTGCTTTTTAATGGAATCATTTTGTACAACTTTGTAAAACACTGATACGACAGTGCAAAAACCTGTTTTTCCTAAATGTCTTATCAATAAGGATAATTTTCCTGAAATCTTCCTTCTAAGTATTAGAACCACTGAATTATTAGAACCGAGCCTATACTGACATGCTACGATTCAATTACACAAATGAGGTTTTAATATCAAATTTATTATAAGTAAAGCATTTAGATTTTTTAGATGTTTGAATCTTTATAATTTAATTGACTCTTTCTGCAAAGCACAACTTCTAAACTTGAAGAATGTCACCCAGTTTTGTTCAACTTCAAAACCTATAATTTAAGTGAAATCTTAAAAGTTGTCAGTTTATAGTGTGAAGTAATTGTAATGTCATTGCTGTCCTCATTATTTAAGTAAAAGAAAGAACACTCTTTACTTTGCACTTACCCAAAGTACATCTTGACTTTTGGAATCTGAAAATTAAAATGAAACTTTTTTCCCTTAAAGTCAACAGCCCAGTCCTGCCTGGGCCGTACTTGCTTTACTCTGTTGTTCCTGCTGGTTTTCTCACTCCTTAGAGTCCGAACATTTGCTTCCTGGGGAGGCAGATTTACTCTCCCTAATCCGTCAGTCAGGATGTGGCTTGTTCCTTATCTTTCATCTCTTGGTCTATATTTGAACAGCAGTTAATTTATTGGGAAAAGTAGAAGAGGTTGAGTGGTGTGAGCCAATAGGGCAGTAGTAAGGAGCCTGCGGTGTATCGAAAAACTCTCCTAACTGCCGAGGCTCCTCTTTTTAGTTAGCTTCAGGTGCCTTCCCAGGAGTGCTGTTGTACAGTTTTCTGAATTACATTCTTTGCATTGGATGAAATCTCACTGGTGCTTTATGGTTGGGAACGACGTGCTTCCAGAATAGCACATCGATGTGACGCTGCAGGAAGGAAGTACAGCTGGGGTTGTATTCCCAGCTGTGAGCGGGGGCAGAGCTTGTCCCCTGGCCCCTTGGAGCCAGCACTGTTTGACCAGACCCGGTTTCTGCAGGAGGTTGCCAGGGATTCGGGTCACACAGTGTTGGCTCCCAGCAGCTTCCACACTTTGACCTGAATGGGAGATAAAAAGGGATGTTTAGTCATGGGCTGATCTGCATCACAGTGTCTTCTATGGTCTAATGATTTCTTTTTTAAATGCTGCCAGTAAAATTCTTGACATACATTTTTCACAGTGATAGTATTCTTATGGACAATGCCGAGGTTGTGTCAATTTGGGTTTTACTCTGTTCGAAGTCCTCTAGATGAGTGTTTCCTAAACTGGGATGTGCAAGTCTTCTGGGGGATGTGAGAGGGACCCCGAGGACTATTTCTCTTACAGCAAATGCCTTTACATCTAGAAGACCAAAAATTTATCTTTAACAACATTGAATGCCATCACTTTGCAGGAGGGGAGGAGAAAGGGCACAGTATCTCAAGGCATACAGGATGTGTGGAGTAGCTTAGATTCCGAACAGAAGCATTGTGTTTGCGATGAAACATTGCACTTTGAACCAGGTGTTCCTTCCTTTCTAACTGCTCATGTGAACTTAGGAATGGATTTACTGGAATATATTCTCTGGTCAGCCCGAGAAGCAGATGATAAGATTGCTGAATAGTTTTACTGCTTTCTTGAAGAAGTGTACTTTTCAAAACTGTGGTAATTCCTAGTTGGGTCAAGTTTTGTTTGGGCTTTGCAAGCTCTTGTCGCCTGAAGTTTTGTGGCATAATTCATATGTTTATCAGATAACTGAAGTGTCAAATAAATTAGGGATATGTTAAAACAGAATTCAAATGCATTTTTTTGTTAACCTAAGAGAGGAGGCACAGTAATCTCTTAACCTTATTCTTAAAGAATTCCTAAGGAACTAGTACTTCTTGAGTCACACTGGAAATCGTTACAAGGAAACATTCACAGAAGAGTTCATTTTCCTTTCAGAAAAGAAAAACAGCAAAATCTCATTGATTTCCTCAATAGGGAATGCTAATCTGAATTTTCTGAATCATGAAATTTTTTAATGAATGTAGTTTTACTAGTTTCGTAAATGCTTCCTAACAACCAGAAAAAGAGATTGCGTAAGGGTTAGTCTATCTTGTTGACAGTCACATTTACCTATGAGTGGAACTGTGGAAACCCCAAAAGCTGTCTCCCTTGTATGCTACATTTATGTAGATTAAAGATTGTGGGACGGGGGCGCCTGGGTGGCTCAGTGGGTTAAAGCCTCTGCCTTAGGCTCAGGTGATGATCTCAGGGTCCTGGGATCGAGCCCCACATCGGGCTCTCTGCTCAGCGGGGAGCCTGCTTCTCTCCCTCTTTCTGCCTGCCTCTCTGCCTACTTCTGATCTCTGTCTGTCAAATAAATAAAATCTTTAAAAAGAAAAAAAAGATTGTGGGACGAGGAGCTTCAGTCCCACAGCTTAGGCGAATTGTCACTAATTCACTAATTCAAGCGATTTTTCTAGTGAAATTCTATTTCTTCGGCGCACATCTTTAGAGTTTTTAATGAGCACAAATGATTTATCTTTTCCCAAACACCAGTCTTAATAAAACATCTTCAATTTGCTATATCCACCTTACGATCCTTTGGATCCTGTAGTGGTTCCCTTGCTCCTTCCCTAGACCACTTGTTACTGTTTTGACCATTTTGTCTTTATTTTGTGTGCTTTGTCTGTAATATGTTAGGGCCTTTTGTAATATGGCTCATTTTTGCGTGAGTTCTAGTTTACCATGTCTTAAGTACTCTTTAAAATATATAGTAAAGTTAGATGTTAATATGAGTATAAAATCTCATCTTGCAGTGCCAATTTTATTAGACCTTTTTTTGTATTTATGTTATGGGTCTGTGGTCTGTAAATGGAAGAGTTAGAGTAAAACAGTTTCATTAGAAATGTCTTCATTCCTCCCAAATTCTGCCATTTTGAAGAAGTTTTGGCTTTCTCAGCTTTAAAGTATTAATGAAAATCCTTCCATGGATTGTTTCAAGTATTAAGTTAAAATTGTGGATACTGTGAAATAACAAAATACCATATTAAAAGCTAACAGCAGGAAGCAAGGTGGATATGTAGAAAGCCAGATTTACCCGAAATTCAGTGTATGCATGTGTATGTGTGTGAGAGAGAGAGAGACAGAGACAGACTTAATGTGTGTGAACTATTACCTGCAATTTATTTTTCTGTGTAGGAAACAAGGTTGTGCGTAGCAGCTCTTTCCAAGTCTGAAGGTAAAAGGAGGATTTTGCTTTCATGTGTGCTTGCCACCAGTTGTATTGGAACCACAAAACACGAAGGACTTTAATACTGGAACAGCTTGCTGTGTGGGACTTAGTATCATTAATTCATCAAGCTTAGCAAAACTAGTTTCTGTGGGTGTTGTTAGCGTGCCTCGAGTATTTCAGCTCTATTATACTGTCATGCACATGAGTGCAGAGACCGACTTGCTTTGGATTCACATCATTCCTTGAAAGACCGAGTATTGAGAGTTTGTGAAGTAATACCAGAGAAACCTGGGTGGGTTCTCTCTTTGCCCTGACTTGTTACATCCGCCGCTTGACCTGTGTTCTCCTCAGCTTCACCATCTGTAGAATTGTTGAGTCCAGCAGGGCCTTGTCCTAGCGTTGGTCAGTAAGCGTTAGATGAATAATACACCTTGATATTTGAGCAAAGAATGATTCGTTTTAGTAGTTGTTCTAAACAAAGTTTTCTGTCCTGTATAAACTGAAATTGTCAGGATTTCTTATTCTCCCATTTGTTTTTAAGATTAGGCTTATTCATATTCCTCTGGGACTAAATATTTCAGTAAATCCAAAATATCTGCTATGTGCC